GAAAAGTAATTAAGTATATTTTTTTATTTAATAATTTTGAGATAATTTAAAGTGTGTAAAAAATTAATCTAAAATACCTACTCTCTAAAAGTGAATCAGTGACTTCAATGTCACACTTATAACCAGGAAATGAAAAGTTACTTTGTAAAAATAAAATACAATTACCTTGTCCACAACCATGCTTTAAGGGTCCGTAAGCCGTAAAGCCTCAAGAAATTGACTAATTGCAGTTGAATATGAGAAAAATAATCGACTGTGATTGGTCAATTTCTTACAGCTTATGACTTACGGCTTCTAAAAATTCATTCTTACGTAAAAATAAAAATAAGAAAAACAACTTCTAATAGTCATAATCTTAACAAATGTTATCCAGAATATGACCCTGAACAACATTCAAGAGGTTTTAGCTGTCGATCGGATACCTTGGATAATGCTAATGTTGATGGTATTATAACTTTTAAGCCTCGTGACAGTCATAACTCAAAAAGTACTTAATGAAAAAATATTTTGTTATCGTTTCGAAGAGCTCTCAAGATAAACTACAAGAATATGCAATATAAAAGAAAAAGAGGTTCCATTTTACAAAATCGATGTGATCTTGACCTAACCTTGGCAACGCCACTCAAGGTCACAATAATACTGCTATTTAAGGTGTTCCTTAAAACCCTAAAATTTCTATCCGAAACACTTTTTGTTAAAAGGCATAGAAAAAAAGATATTTTAACCATTAAAATGATCCATTCTGTATATTTATGTATATTCGTGCAAAAATTTTTTTATCGAGGCTATACTGCCATATAAATGGCTGTAATACAAATCTTAATAAATACAAATCTTGTCGTTCCGATTATTTGAGAAGTTACAATAAGAATGCATTTAGTTTTAGACATTGAAACATTGTAAAGAGTCATTTGAAAAATATTTTAAAGTAGCAGAATCTTCAAAACTTGTTACATCGACTGTAAACTTTGGACTCATATTTAACGTATAATTGCTGCTGTGTCCAAATAGTTTACGTATTATTCATCGCAAGACCACGTGTAACTACTTGGAAGAAAGATAATGTTACAATAATTATACTAATTGTTATAATAATACTACAAAAATGATATTATACCAAGGACAAGCTCAATTATTTTAAACGAAAAAGATAATTACCCGACATATCTTAATAACAAGTGGACTAAAGGACGTAATTGCCTACCATTTTGTATTGACGTCAAATTCTTGTTATTATTCATACATCGCATTCGTATTACTTAAATCTTTATCCACGTTTTTATTTTCCGTGATGTTTATCTTCATTATAGGTCTTGCTCGACCTATTAATGAGCCTTTAGGGTTGATAAAAAATATGTTTCAAACGTGTTTTGAACCTATTTTACAATGTACTCTTTGTTTCCTATTCTTGCTTTTCGCCTTTTGCTTTTTCCCCCTTTGCAATCGTTTTATCGACAATTGTATTTCTTACTATGTGTTCCCTGTTTCTTCCAAAATACGTTAATTTTTATCTTGAGAGACATAAACAAAAAATTGAATAAGAAGCAAAAAGACAAGATGTAAAAAATAGCAAAAAGCAAGAAACAGAAAATAAAAAGCACATTGTAGAATAACTATTATGAATAACTATATGATTATAAATTGATAGCACTTATATTTTACATGCCATCAAGCTGCTACCAACTTGCTATCATCAAATTTATAATTTACATGAAGGCAACATTTTACACATAATAAGGAAGCACCTTGCCTTTAATTTGTCATCTACTATTTGTATCTGCAACAACTGACAGTAATATGATGACATCTTGAACTCACTTGGCTATCAGGGACTATTCAAATATGGGAAAGTATTTTTTGTTTGGATATACTTGCATTCAGTTATATATATATGTGAAGGAAGAACCTACATAGCAAATAAACAGTAATTTACAGTTTTTGGAAGATTTTCTGGTTTCTAATTTCTCAAAGGTATTTGCATTTTTTTTTATTCTGGAAAAGAATTTATAATTAATATTTTAATTTTATTCTATATAATGAAAATGAAATGGTTGAAGAAATACGAAATGACGTCCCGTTAATAACAGCATCTCCTTAAGGGGATCCTAAAGTCTGTATTACCGACTAAACCATACAATTTTTGTATAACAATTACTTTTACCTCTTTTACTGATTTGAAAATCCTTTTCTCCAGGAAAGTATACGCATCTGTAAAGTGGAGTCTGTGTTAAGAACGACAAAAAATTTCGAAATTGAGATCTTTTTTACTATTTCTTAGTCCAATATGGCATTCCAGCCAGAGCTGTCACGTCATGACAACATTTGCTTTATATAAAAGCTGTGCAATCTGTACTTACAAAATAGTAATCTACAGACTAGTATAAATTTGCATGAGGAAACAATGTGGAATTCTTAAAATTGGATTTTTTAAATAATAATTCTCTACATCCAGAATCTCCACATTTTGCTAATCAAAGTCATGATCGTTTTGCAACCTATAATCTGTAATCACCAAATGAGTGGATGTTTGACTATGGATGCTTTTGGTGTTCAGAAAGTCTGGTTTTTAATTTTCTCCCTGTTTGTTCCACATAGGCAGCATCGTAATCACAACAATTGATCTTATAAACTACAATCCTTTTCAATTCATTATTATAAAGAGTCTTTATGAACTTTAATAAATTGATTTAACTTATGCAATCTAAAAAAATAATGCAACTAGCGTTAGGGAGAAAGATTGCTGATGAAGACTCAAATGAGTGAAAATATTCAAGGTCAAGGTTTATATATTTAATATTAAGAAAAATTGCGCTAATTAATAACCATCGTTGACTCCTATCGCCTGTACTTTATTAGTATCATATATTTCTAAATTGTTCTCTCATATTTTGAAATTTCGATTTGTGTTTATCAGTTGTCTCATTATTCGGATTTTGGATTTGTGACTTCGTAATTTCTGGCGGTTTCATAGCTTGTGCTGTTTCAACCTTTTCCGTTTGCAAAACATTTGAAGTATTCATTTTATTGTACATATTGCGCAATTGTTGCTGATTCATTTTTCTTATTATTCCTTCATCTTATATTGATTTTTCGATGTCATTATTATTATTATAGTGAAAAATAAAATTACTGATAATTCTTTAATGTAAATTCCCCTTGCAGGCTCAACAATTTGATCGGATATTATAATTTTTTGAAAGTTGTTGCATGGAGAAAGAAAGAGGGAGAAAATGAGAAGGAAAGGAAGGAGGGAGGGGCGGGAGAGGGAGAGAGAGAGAGGGAACGCCTAATAATTTATTTAAAATTGGGGAATTAATAGGTAAGTTAAAGTATACATTACAAAATAATTGATAAGTTTAAAACATATTTTCCCTCTTTCTTTCGAATTTGGAACCATTTAAAGTACTACTTATTATAATAATAATTATTAGCAAAGTTATTCGTACACAATATTTACGCGTTCTATAAATGGAACGAATAAATCGGATCTCGAAAAGTAAGGAAACAGATTTTCCAGAGATCCTCATGAGCACCCAACTTATTTAAGCGCAATGTATAGACCTTTACTGACTTGTTGAGTGAGAAATGCTAATTACAAAATAATATTAGGTGTTTTCCAGCAAGAGACACAGATGCCAGTGTAACACAGTAAATCATAATATCTTTATTGTTTGCCAATATTAAACAAAAATGAAATGATCATTGTGTTATACTGTGTGTGTCTCTGGAAAGCACCAATTATTACTGTTTCTTTTTGTTAATATTTCTTCTGTAATAAATTATTTATTTTTCGTCTTTCTATAAATTATTCTTTTAAATAAAACGTACTTATGGCTAGCGAGTAATATAGCGAGCGTTTTATGATGATAATATGTACATATAAAAACACTAAACAATAATCAGAAATACTTCTTCCTTTCTTAACAGCGCGTTGAAATATTCTTGATGCGTGTATCGTGATGTTTTCGTATACTATCTACATATTAATGAAGGAATGAGAGAGATATGTATTCCGAATGGTATATATTCCGAATAAATAATGTAAGCTGTAAAACAATAGAATAAAGTAATGAATCAGAAATAATTCTTGAAAGAATTTTTGTGTATAAAATTTTATTAATTCATGTACCTTTTTTTTAAATAATTCACAGGCAAAGAAATATCATAGTACATCTGAGTTATTATAATCTAATCACGTACAGGGAACCTTACCCGTACCAGGAGATAGATATAGCATTCTTAAGCAGGTAGAACAAATATTCCTGGTCAAAAAAAGCTGAATACATGAGAAATTAAGTTGCTAAATATATTTGAAGAATTCTAGTCTTCGGGCTTTGTTTGTGTATATTGCGATGACAATTACAATATGGTATATAACTGTTAATTATAATAGTAATTTAATTAATATGTTTAATAATCCACAACCTTGCTTTAAAAAGCCTTAAGTCATAAGTTGAAAGAAATTAATACCTTCTCCACAACCTTACTTTAAAGAGGGTAAATTAAGCTGTAAGAAGTTGACCAATCACAGTCGATTATTTTTCTCATATTCTATTGTGATTAGTCAATTTCTTATGGTTTTACGGCTTACGGCCTCTCGAAGTAAGGTTGTGGATAAAATATAAATGACAATAATTTCTGCTCTTGAATTATTTTTGCGCAGTCTTTAGGCTTTAACTATTAGACCTTAGGACGTTCTCCGACTGCAGTTATGCTCAACCTAATGAGTGCTTATGAAAATAATTTATTTTACTTTTATATAGCATAAGATATTTCATGAGTGTTAATGTTTTTATACAAGTTTTTTTATACATATATATCATATACAATATAGTGTTCTAATAAATACAAATCATATGAAATAAAATTCTTTTTTATTTCAAATTACCAATAGCGGAGCTACTTACTTTGCTCAATAATTTCTTAAAAACGAATACCGGAAGCCATATTCAAACAAATTTCATATTATATCAAGTTTTATGTCTTATTGTTTTAAAAAATTGTTAAGAAAAACTTTTTTACAGTGAATAAAAAGATCACTTTCGAATAAGCTTTAGATCCTATGTTAAACGTTTCAACTTTAAAGTGGAGTTTCTCGATTTTTAATCCCGCTCCGGGTATTGAGTTTTAAAGCACATATTCAGGACACTAAAATAAGTTTTTTCTAAAAGTAAGTCTTAGAAAAATCTAAAGAAAATGGGTTTTCCGGAGAACGTCCTTAAGCAAAACCCAATTCTTATGACCTAAAAGCATAAGTTCTGTGGATGATGTATCGTTACTTACGCCTCTTAAAGCAAGATTGTAGACTTTGTTAGCTTAATGTGTTCTAATAAGTCTTAGCCACAGCAACGGTCTTAACGACGTTATTTCCCAGTAGTTGATTAACAGCGTTGTTAACAGCAGACAATGTAGAAATCGGAATCTGAAAGTAAGATTTGATTCATTAAAAGCTATGTAATTTTTTATACAGATCGTGATGCTCGTAAGACATAAATGTAAAAGAAACGACTTACATTAAAAATACTATCAATGAAAGATTCGCTGGCATAAGTTTTGCCTGCAGCAACCACGCCGCCGTCTCCTACTGCGTTGACAAAAAGTCCGCCGACTATATCCGAAGGAGAACTTTGAGTATCAACCGTTGCTGTTGGAGCAACATAAACTATTTTCCTAGGGCGGGTCCAGAATCTTTTTCTAAGGTACCAGCGTGGATACACGGGCTTTGCAACCACTACATTCGGATTGGCTGAAAGAAAAAGAATTTCTCATTGATTAACATTCGAACAGTGCAGAGAAGCATTGAAATAATTACTCACCGACTGTTGTAACTGTATCGACGGCGGCAGTAGCTTGGCCTGCGCCTTGTGTGGGTGCAGCAGCTGCAGGTGCTAGAACGACGGTTTTCACGGCTGGCGCTGCTCCAACATAAACCGATTTGAGAAGGTCCACTTCTGCCGCGGGTGCCACGACTGGCACTGCACGTCGTGTCTGTTTCGCAAAAAAGATTTCTCTAATTATAAAATTTTAATATTCTAACAATCACCTTGAGTGTGTGTGTGTTCTACATAATTATTTTGATTTTCAAAATTACTTTTAAATCTATTGAAAGAACGATTTTGCTGAAATATCCGAAATTTTAGATACAGATTTAAAAATAATTTTGATAAATTATCAAGGTAATTATAGGACGCTCAAGTTGGTTGCTAGAATATTCAAATTTTTTTGTAGCTTATTATGCCTGAGTTTTCTACACAGAAAAAATATTACAATTGTCACAATCGGAAATAATGATAATTTTTGCCTATCAATACATTTGATTATAATAACCGTAAAATGGATATATATTTTTACAACCATAACCGTTAAGATATCAATCTTACTGTTATCATAATCATACTACATAATTCTTATAAAAAATGTATTGATGAGTGACTTTTGATCGTGGCAACCATAACCGTTTTTGCTATGTATGCTTGAGTTTCCTATAATATATTTATACTGATAATCCAACAAAATTATTTTTTTATCTGTATCTAGCTAAAGGAGTTGATGCATTTTAGGATTTGGAGAATATGCAGGAATTGTTGTGTTCATTGTTTTTTTTACCTAATTTTACTTATTGAACTCGAAAATTGTCCTGATTGTCCGGGAAATTTTTTTGTCTTATTTTAAATAGAAGAAAGCAATGGTTAATTTTATCACTTTCTTGAATTATCTACGAATTTCTCTTTGTTTTTGACTTATTTTTTTATTAAATAGAAGCGCTTCTCTCACAAATGTACATTTTGTACAATTTATACACATGCGCGAAATATATATGTAAAATGTAAATATGTAAATAAATGTACAAATGTAAATAAAAGAATATAAAGGAATTTATTTTTAAGTCCTGTTAATATATAATATATTCCGCTTCACAAACGCTCTATAATAAGTCTTTACTACAAAATCTTATTTATTCTGTAATGTACAAGTAAAAGTTAACTTCTATAGTAAAAGTTAAATTCTGTAGTGCAAGTAAAGTAAACGACTTTAATAATTAATAATTGATTTTTATAAAACCAAAGAAAAATTCGTAGACATGGTTCAAGAAAGTAATAAATTTAATCATTATTTTCTTCTGTTCGAAATGTAGAAAAAAAATTTTCCAGATATCAAGAAATTTTAACTACGATTTTCGAATTCAGCTAATAAAATTGAATAAAAAAAAATGTGAACATGATTCCTGCATGCTCCCCAAATCGTCTAAAATGCCTCAACTTCTTTTAAATATTTCAGAAAAATTGTTCTTTCCTTTTTCAAATATTCAACAATGTTTAGTTGATATGCAATCTGCTTCTTACCTCCTTATTGTGCGACTCGACTTTCTCATCTTCAGGTGCATCAGCTCGTAGCATCGCGTCAGCTTGTAACACCTTCTGCATTCGATAGATTTAGTTTAAAGACGATATTCCATCATGAATATATTTATGCAAAGATGATCGACGGATTAAAATATGTGTGTATCCCAAGAATCCAATATGAACTTAAAACTGCTTATTCGACTTATTAGGATTAGGTACTAAACTACGACTATTCTACGGAAGATGCGTTAGAAGACTGTCAATTTTCTTCCACGCGTGTCTCAACTTGTCGTTTATGTATTGTATTTGAGACCTAGAAAATCAGAATGATGTATTCCATATTATTTACAGAGTAAAAAAATAAGTTAAGAAATTGCGATTGAAACCTCTTTCTCTTTGCGCGCCTTCGAAGGTATGATTTGTATACTCGTGCGACCTTTCGGTTTCTTGCCACTTGCAGTTGTATCCGCACTTGCTGGGATATTAGATGTTCCCACAGCGGCCTCAGGTGGATTCAAATTAGCTTCGTTATTTGCGCTGCCACTTATAATTCCATCAAATCCAGGTTGATCAAAACCACCGCCGAGAAACACGCCCGGACCTGGACCGCCGCCTGGTGTTGCCCCTGCGTACAAGCCACCCGCAATCGGGTTCGCCGACCGTCTACTGCCATCCAGTTTCCCACCGAGGCCAGCAGCCGCTTCTGGTCCTCCACGGCTGGCTCCAGCTCGAGCATAAAGACCACCGCCTGAAGTAATTTTTGCTCGCGTTTGTGTAGCCTCACTTAATGTTTGTTTAATATATTTCTATTTTTAATGAAAATACTGAGATCTTACTGAATTGATGCAGAATGCAATTTTTTTACTAGACTTTTCTTTAAGTTTGCGATATTTTTATTTGACATTAATATATAGTGTATGTATCGTTTTTATTTTTGTTGAATACTAACCAAGCTTGCCGTCTGCATCTAATTTACCGCCTAATCCCGCGCCAGCATGTGCACCCCATGGTGTTCCCGCACTCGCAAAAAGTCCACCACCCGTACCTCGTAAAAGACCACCAAGTCCAGCTTCAGCATGATACCCTCCAAAGTTCACTCGGATTCCTCCGTCAGTAAATTGAATAAATGGAGGCTAATATCAAGCAAATATGGAAAATTATTAAAACAATACTAAGCTTTAAGACTTGTTAAATTTAAAAATTATTGCAAAACAAAAAGCTGAGAACCGACGCTAGTAAATCTTTGCGTAATTTTTATTATAATAATATATTTATTAACAACTATTTATAGAAAATTATATTTGCTTATTAAACTAAAAACGCTTTGGCATTAATAAGAAACATGACGTTATGTAGATAGAAACTTTTTATTAATTTATATAAATTTTTTTTTATTGTTTTCTCTATTCTATATCTAGATTGTAGGTGATAATGCAATTGCAATTACAATCCTATCTCTTCTTCACTGTAAGATATAAAAGCCGGATCTTTCCAAGAGTGTGCATGGGAGTTTCATCAATTGCAGACGTTCCGGATAATTTCGAGACTAGTGACCGTGACCGTTGCGCGATACAACAATTTCCCTCAATTATTTTTTTTTCGCGTTGAATACCTACATAGACAAAAAAATTGTATGCAAATTCCAGATTAAGTACAAAATTTTTTGCGTTAACACTGAGATTCGTGTAGCGTGCATTAACCGAATTTACCGTTCGCTTATGGTATTTTAAAGATTATTCCAAGGTAAGCAAGCTATATTAAAATATGCAATGAATACGATAATAATAAGTGGATATCACACTACTTCCAGATAGCATGGAAAAATTTTAATGACTGTGGTGATATTATCAGAAAAAGATTTACTTCTCTTGCATGCTAAAGATTTATAATAAGCACTATAATTATATTTGAACTCTGTACTTCCTTTATTTGTATTGCTACGTTTGTTAGCTATGTGAACTTAAACCTGTTCGCTTGGTTTTTTCCTTTCAGTTTTATGAATAAAGAACGTAATTTTGTTGCTTATATTCTGTGGCTTCTTATTAGTTTTAATCGACTTATTTTTTTCAGTTTTAATTGACGTATTCTTTTCGATTTAATAAATAATTGTTATTAATTTATAGCTTCCTGAAACAATATTTTTATTTATAATAGACTAATTAAATAACATAACAATTAAGTTTTATGCAACCTTCTATCGCAACCTCCCGCAAACCTTTCTCTCTACAAGAGAGTCTGATTATCTAACCAACTTAAGGTCAACTTTTCCTCTCGAAGCAATCGACTACATGGAATCAGTTCTTCAGAAGTAAGGCATCAATGCGTTTCTTCGTAAGTCTAATAATTATCCGTGTGACGTCTAAGACTATGAGTATGCAGACTCGAGATCGTGTTCGTAATTATAGGCTTCTAATTAAATAAATCTGCTGAATCAAGATATATAATACTGATATGCGTTATGTCTAGAAATTTCTCATATAATTTTACAAACTCGCCATTATTCTGCACTAAATACATAAAAACACGTATATTAATGAAAGATTGACTTGTGATTGACTTCATTATTTGTCGTTTTTTCAATGTAGTATTTCATCTTGTAGTAACGCATGTATATTTTACGTAATTGACTAGCTGGGATGTAAGGAATACATGCTTACATTCAATTTCTCATTTCATCATCTGTAGCTAGAAGCGGCGTAATAATACCTTTCTCATTCCATTCTCTAAGCTCTAACATTTTCGAAATACAATTTTTCGTATATCATAATCAATTATGAGCACCAGACCATCTCATCTTGATCTCCTTATACTAATACTTTATTTTTACAAAGTTGATTTTACTTTATACTTTAGTATAAGATATAAACTTAATTTAGAATTTTCTATTTTAATCTATGTTAAGATGAGTAATACGCTCTATCCTAATAAATAGTAATATTTGTACTGACAATATTATTATATAAATAATATATTGAGAACCATTTGAGACTCTCAATTGTCAACTGTTAATTAACTGGATGCTCGTAGCATGATTAATTTATTAGTTAGAGAATTTATATTTGCCAAAGTTTCATGACATGGTTGATGTCTGCTTGAGATTTCTCTACAGTTTTGGGAACCTGATAGTGACTCATCATGGACAGATCGACAACATTGATCGTTGAATATGTATAACTTGCTGAGAATAACTCCAAAGAGAACGGAAACGTTCAAGATTGTATAATAAAGCTGCGCATTATCTATTATTTTGAAGTATTTTTAATATAAATTAATACTTATGCGCACCTATTTCCGCGCTGACTATCATTAGCCTTAATCTCATTGTTATTTATTATTTTAAATGATATATGTTACAAATTATTTCTTTTAATAGATGAGAACTCGCATGTATCAAAGAAAGATTTAACTCCCATGTATCAAAGAAAATTAGGACAAAGTCATTTCTCATTAGGAGAAAGATAACAACAAAAGTGTAACAAAGCAAAAATGTTCTACTCACTGATTCAGACTTGTCTTGTTCTGTATCATCTTTCTGTGGCATTCCGTTAACTAGAGCTATAGAAATAATAAGTAGGCAGTTAGCTACCACACTAAACGACATCTTCGAGTTTACTGTCGGAGGACTGAGACTGTACGCAGGTAGACAGTGATTTCTCAGACTCACCGGTAGATATTTCTTAGTCACTTGCCACTGGAAGGGATAAGCTCGATGAGATCCGTATTCGTTCGGTGAACTGCAAATTTACATGCAGTATAATATAAAAATGGTACATAGTTCAGATAATTTATTCCGTAAACATTTAAGATGATTAATTCAATGCGTATGTTTAAGATGAATAATTTAATGAGTTTTTTTTTGTAAAAATAAATGCAAATTTAAAAGAAAAACTTGTTTAAACAAAAACATCTAGATTAAAAGATTTTATTTTAAAAGTAATTTTATTTTAGAATATTTTTTTTCATTTTGTTTTAAACCTTTATTCATTATTATTTATATTCAAGAATATTCCATATATTTAGAATACAATTTATAAAAA